AATTGAAAGAAAAAAAAGTTAGTTTTTGTTTGTTTGAGTAAAGAGAAGCACATCGACACAATAATGAACATTTAGTGCTGGGGGAAAAGTAAGACAGATAGACAACAGAAGGTAAGAAAGACCTACCAGAGGCGCCCTCCTACCATCTGCTATGAAACAAAGCAGAGCTTATTTTGATATAGCATTTAATAACCAGTGCCATTATTTCATCTGACCTGGCGTCAGCAGCCTAGTGGTTAAAAGCTACCGGACTCGTAAGGTTACGCATTCGGAGGTTCGAGCTTCTGCTCGGTCGGACGTTGTGTCCTTGGGAAAGAGGCACTTTACACAAAAATCCCACTTGGCTCCGTCCTTTCGGAGATGGACGTTAAACTCGGAAGTCCCGCCTCTTATACAACCTAACAGTCTAGAAGTCCCGCCTCTTATACAACCTAACAGTCTAGATAGGGGGGGGGGAGCATTAAACCTATATCATTTCACAATTTTCACACACACACACACACACACACACACACACACACACACACACACACACACACACACACATACACACACACACACACACACACACACACACACACACACACACACAAACACATACACACATTTCCTATCGGCTTATGTTTACTGCGTCTTATCGGAGACAGAAGTTAGATCGTCAATCCAGCCCATTCGGATCAGATCATACATTTGAACGATGGGCAACCGTTCTAAGAGTTGTTCTCAAATGCCCTCAGCGACATTTCGCCTCATGAACCGTTTCCCTGGTGAGAGAGCACGCCTTGAGCCGTCGTTTGCTTCCTTGAATAAATGCCCTGCGGCGCTGACTGTAAGTGATTTCATTTGCCTGTTTCTGCTCAAATCTGTCTCCACCCTCTGGAAGGGCGGGGGCTCTTAGCATCTCTCAACCTAGAGTGGGCGGAGTGAAAGAGAGAAATACTCCTCCACACTCTAGTCTAGACGTACAAAGCGGTGTCGTGCCAATGACGTTAAGACCCACGTCTTCTCATTTTGGTTTAGCAATAATAAATATCAAAAGTATTAAAACTATCATTACATTTATTTATAATAATATCATTTTATATTCATAATTATCACAATTGAGAATAATACCATTACTATTCGTGTTTTTATCATCACTATTTCCATTTGTAAACTTTTATCATTACTATTAGGTCTACTATCATTATCATGTTATTATCATTAATGTTAGTATTAGTTTTATCATTATTATTATTATTATTATTATTATTATTATTATTATTATTATTATTATTATTATTATTATTTTTATTATTATTATACCTTATAATCAATAAGTAGCATTATTATCACATTATTAATATTATTTTTATTATTATTACCATTATTACAGTATTTTTCTTCTTCAAAGTATTTTTACCATTTTCATTATTTGTATTATTATTATTATTATTATTATTATTATTATTATTATTATTATTATTAGTTTTATTATTATTAGTCTTATTATTATTATTATTATTATTATTATAATCATCATTTTTATTATAATTATTTTTTTTATCCTGACTATCATTGTTGTTGTCATTGTTGTTACACAGCAGAGCAACCGACAACTGCTCGCTCTCTTCCTCTTTAATTTTGTCCAAACTTCAAAATATGACTTACACGAGCATGGAATGACGCTGACAAAAATACACAGAAGAGAAATCGTGTCACGGGTGTCTTTCAGTTGTTCTTAATTCCGCCACTTTATTCTCTAGGAAAACGGGAGGAATTGGGTGCTCAGGGTGCCCTTTAAATTTTAGTTTTAGTAGAGGTTTTACGGCGCTCACAAACTGCATAAGGTCATATGAGCGCCAGAAGATTAGAGCTGTTACAAGAGAGCAACAAACATAGAATAAGAAGGAGGGGAGATAAGCACGATAGATGTTTGATAGGAAAAAACTGGTGCCCTTGAAGCCGCCACACTCTTGACTTCTGAGTGGAGGCACAGTCGGAAAGGTGGTGTTTATTTGGCTTCAATAAGTGAATCATCGCACGATAACAAGGAAAGACGGGAGACAATACGGAAGCTTTTTGGGGAAGAGACAGGGAAGTAAACAAATAAGAGAAGGTTGGGGCTCGAGAGACGGGTGGAAGGGGGGGGGTGTTAGGAGAAGAAAAGCGGAATTGCGAAAGAGTATAGAGATGCAAAGCCCCTTTTAATACGTTATGGTTATTTAGGAGGCGAAACCTTTGAATATAACGTCCACATCCGATAGAACAGAGCCAAATGCGTGGATAGCCTAAAAGAACTCAACAAAACAACATAGTTCAGAACTCTCTATTGGGCATTCGAACAAGGACAATCCGCTCCGAATCCAGCAAGATACCAACTGAGTATAGTTTTTAGTCAGAGTTTTACCGCACTTGCAAAACAATAAGGTCATATAAGTGTCGAAGATTAGAGGTGTTACAAGAGAGTAACAAGCACAAAAAAAGAAGAAGGAGAGATAACAACGACAGATGTTTGATAGAAAAGAAGGAGCAAACCACACCAGAGCACCCGCCAACCACCCACAAGATACCAACTGAGATAACGGAGTGCCCAAGGGGGGTTGGGAGAAAGAAGAGCAAAGTATTAGCACAGAAAAGGTCAGAACAGCACAAACAAAAGGCACAATTCAAACATTGTCACGCAATTAAGAAGGGTAAAAAGAGGGGTGAGGGTGTAGCTGAATGCCAAGAGAGGAACGTATGAGAGGGAGGGAGAGAAAGAAAGAGAAAGATAGAGATGGAGTGGGAGAAAAGAACAAAGAGAGAATGGGAAGGGAAGTGAGAGAGACTGGGGGGACAGAGAAAAAGTAACGGAGACAAAGACCAACAAAAAGAAGGAAAGACAGACAGATAAAGAGACAGAGAGAGTGAGAGAGACAGAGAGAGAGGGGGAGGGGGCAGAGAAACAGAGGAGTCGGAGAAACAAAGAGAGACAGAGAGACAGAGACGAGAAAAAAATGAGAATGTGTGAGAAAGAGGAAGGAGAGAGGGAGAGGGGGCGAGGTGGGAAGGAAGTAAGAAGTAAAAACAAGGATAGAAAGAAAAGAAAACATAAGACAATGAAAACAAGATGTTGGAGAGAAAGGAAAGGCACAAAAGTGCTTCCAGACAAACAACCCGACACAGAGCAAAACACTTGAAGAAGACATTCCTCACCTAAGCCAAGTTAGTCACCAAATCAAACACACGCATTCCGGAATAAGCGCCGCGAGACACAAGATGGGAACAGAAAGGGCGAGTATGGGAGATGGTTGTGGTGGAAAAGGTGACTTTCAGTTATATCATCATACAGCGATATAATATTGTTTCATATCTGAAACAAACAAAAAAACACAGATCGCGGTTCGTAATTCATTTCTCCGCTTGGGTGCTCTAAAAAGACTACATCATCCTGGGGTTTCCCAGTCACCCATCTATTCAGGTTTTTTCAAATAAGTTTCTCGCTTGCCTTCTTATTTATTTGTCCAATGAAAGCATGATGTCCATACTATCCTTTATGTCGAGTCAAGTGTTCCAGGAACTGAATGTGCCGCTTCCTGGTTGTTCTCTTTGTGAGTAATAATAATAATAATAATAATAATAATAATAATAATAATAATAATAATAATAATAATAATTGGGGGGAAAATGACTTTGCAAAAATCAAAAGTTTCGATTCGCGTACCTTGATATTATTCGACTAAATTAATATTCATATGCAGAGCTTATAATTGGATGTTGGATGGATTCTTGAAAGAAAGTCAAAAGTCGTATCGTGTAGTTCGGCCCACTTTTACACATTCAAATTCCCATTTAGAACTTTTTATTTTTTTCTTAATGCTCTTCCGATGCCAAACACAAGTCACATTAGACAACCGTCAATGCTCAAAAGCCAAATCGAGCAACACTGGTAGGCCCTTCTTTACATTTACTTTTCAACCTCTGCTGGTTCTGCGTATCTTACTTTTTCCCCAACACTGTATGACCGCAACAGTGCCTGCATGCTTGCTTTTCAAACGCAAAGCCTTTGCATCCTTCCACATTAAAATTCCATTTAGGATGAAAACCTTTCAAAGAACTTCAACATAGAAGATTCCCATCCTGTGCACACCCTAATTTTAGTTCGATTTTGTCCAACCCTATTTTGTTTTGTTTTATGATTGCTGGGTTTGGTTTAGTTGTTAATTTGTCTTGTTTTGTTTTTGTTTGTTTTGGTTTGTTGTTGTTTTTTTGTTGTAGACTTTGGGGGGTGTTTTGTTGTTGTTGTTTGTTTTTGTTGTTGTTGTTTGTTTTTTTTTGTTTGTTTTTTTTTGGGGGGGGGGGGTTGTTTTGTGTTGTTTTCGGGGGGGTTTTCGTTGAGGGGGGGGTGTTGTTGTTGGAGTCGGTAGCCAAGTGGTTAGGCCACCGGACTCGTAATCGTTGCGGGTTCGGGTGTTCGAGCCTCACGCCCGACGTTGTGTCCTTGGGAAAGGCACGTTACACGAATTTTCCTCACACCACCCAGGTGTAAATGAGTACCCAGCCATAGACAGCGAAAAATCTTGTCGGTGTGTTAGTGTTTTGGCGCCTATAAAACGGCAGCTTGCACTGTACGCTTCCCGGGGAGTTAATCTAGTTTCAGAATGCTATCAGGTCTGCTGGGATAATAATAATAATATACATAAAGATGATAAAGCGCATAGAGCTTGCAATTAAGCAGAAATTTGCGGTAGCCTATACAAAATGCTCTCTATTATTATTATTGTCTGTTTTGTTGCTTGGGTTTTGTTGTTGGGGTTTGTTGTTTGTTTCTTTGCTTGCTTGTTGTTGTTGCTGGGTTGGGCCTTTCATTTTTGGCGGGGGTGATGTTTTGGTTTTGTTTTGGCGTTGTTTTGTGTGTGTGTGGGGGGGGGGTTGGGGGCTAGGGGGTGAGGATGTAATTATTTTACGCCCCCATTTACACAAGACCGTGTTCAGAAGGGACGTAAAACGTATGTACAGTTTTTTCGAGTTCTACTTACATTTCCTGGTCGTTGGAGAGAGTGACGAGGGCAGGCACTACCCTGGAGGAGACGAGCGTCTCATTCACTCCCTTGATCATTAACTGTGGAAGAAAGGAAGGAATGAAAGAGGAAAATGAAGGTATGAAGTGAGCGGTGAGGTAATCACGGCAACATAATGGCGAGGCTAAGTGGGCTATTACGCCCTCGTCGCTTGTCCTGGAGAAACAGGAGAGAGAGAAAAAATCAAACATGACATAAAATGACTTGTTCAACAAGAGCACTCACGCCAGTAGAACATTTTATCGTTTTCTTTTAAGACAAGAGAGTTTTTATGCCCCCATCAAAACAATTTAGATCACGCAGGACGTGGGCTTCGATCGTGCAACGTCCAGGCAGAAAGATGGAGATGCTCAACAACAACAAATATTTTAAAATTCTCTACACACAGGCATAAAAATTGCGTCTCCTGCCTGCGACGGCAAAGCGCCTAACCAACTGCTACACCACAGACACACGCTGGAGTAGGACTTTTTTTTTTACTTAGGTAAGTGTTTTTACCTCCCCTGCTGGTGGGGGGGGGGGGCATAGTTTTACTATGGGTGAGCAAAGAATACACCTGCCGTGATACTGCGAGTCGTAAGAGGCGACTAAAAGTGCATAGGTCTGGTCGCCCGTACGGACAAACACAGCTTTTTATTTTTCGATCTTGGGAAACGGAGGAGCTTCTGCATCAGCAGGAACAATGAAGGACAGCAGACGAGAAGAATCACAGAAGTGGATGTACAGAAAAGTGGGAAGACATGGAATTACATCAAGAGGCTAGCACAGGATAGAGAAAGGTGGACGGTGTTTGTCCGTGGCCTATACCCTGGTGGGGGGTGAGAAAGGCAATGATGAAGTGTTTTACGGCGTTCGCAACTGCATAAGGTCATATGAGCGCGCGGGACACATTAAATATTTTCAGTTGGTAGGAAATTTTGAATTTTTCCCGTTGGCGGCCGAAGCCTACTCTTATCGATTTTAGACCACCAGGGGATCTTTAACGAGCGCAACTTGCACACGGGACATACGAGATTTTCGCCCTTGTCCGAGAAGGCTAGGTGTAGGTCTTTCCTACCAGAAGATCAGGGGTGCGGCTGAAACACAACAGTAAGAAGGAGCCAAGGAGTAACAGAAAGAGTCAGGAGCCCAAAGGAGGGGGCAAAGGAAGTGAGGGGGTGGGGAGAGAAAGTGGAGACGAAAGCAGACGACAGAACGTTGTTGGAGAGCAGGAAAGGGGGAGAAAGGAGACAATTTTAGAGAAGAAAATGTTTCTGTCGCTACCCGAATTCGACCCCGGGACCTTTGAATGAAAGGCTAACGCCTTAACCTCTAGGCCACGAGAGCCCCCGGTGTAGGACTTTGTTCAAACATGATTGATAAGGCAATCATCAACATAAGGTTGTAATGTATTGTATATGCCACCCCCTCCCCCTTTTCATTTTTTTAAAGAAAAAAATTGACGTGACATACATGTAAATTATTTACAAAACGGGTCAGATTCTCCGACCTTGCTGCTCATTCAAGGCTACACCAGGCTGAGAAGGATACTGTATCCCAGCAAACAGGCTGAGAAGGATACAGTACCCCACCAGACAGGCTGAGATACTCCACAAAATATCTTCACGTCTTCTTAGAGCAACGGCGAAGAGCCTATAATTATAACACCGCACACGCCAGTTCTCAAGCTCTCCTCGCTTTTCTTGAAGAAACAAGGGAAACAAAAAAAAGACAAAAAACTTTGAGGCGAAATGTGTTACGACGCGGGGAATTCGGGCTTTTGTCAATGTTAGGGCATATGGAGTTTATCCGCATCATCTTAAAGCATGTTCATTTGTTTTGCAGTCGATGAAATGTAAAAAAAAAATACATAAGTCTGTGTTTCTCGAGAACAAGTCAAGATATTTGAGATTGAAGGAGGAGAGGGTCGCCTGGTGTCGGAAGAAAATGAACTCAAAAGCGAGATGACTTCTTAAGCTTGAGTGTCGTGGGAAACCGTAAATTTACTTTTTTATTCATCCCTTTGGTCATCGATTGGGGGTTGTTTTGTTTTTGTTTTGTTTTTGTTGTTTTTTGGGGGGGTCGAGTTTTTTGTGTGTTTTGTATGCTTTAGAGGGGGGGGGGGTTCCTGGGTAAAATCAATACAGAAATATGTTTGTAAATAGACATAAAAGGTGTTGAGCCAGAAAGAAATTGATAAAAATTGCCCAAAAGGGCAGAAAAATACCGGTTTCTTCGGCTTCATTATTCGCATTGACGAGCGACTGATTTCACCACGATGCCACTAAAATGACGTGTTAAAATCGGTGTACTCGGGCTTGTATGACGTTGTTCAGGCAGCGATGAGGTGGATGATCAGCAATATAAGGACTCGAGTAAGTAGCCACTCAGGCCTAAATAGTGCATCTTTACACAACAACTAGATCTATAGACAACCACCACCAAAAAAAAATGACGTGAGGAGATAGGCACTCGATCACGCCTGTGTAACTTCTATAAAGGCCAATAAAAGAGAGTGGTTTTAGTTTTAGTAGGTTTTACGGCACTCGCCTCAGAATTGGGTCATATAAGTGTCGAAAATAAGAATAAAAAATGGCGAAAATCCCTATCAACACTACTAGGTTATTGAAGGCCGAAGTTTAGAGGTGTTGTAAGAGAGTAATAAACACAAAAAGAAAGAGAAGAGATAAGGGCCAAATTGTTTGTTCGACCCACAAAAAAAATGGAGCAAACCACATCACGTCACTCGCCAACCACCAACAGAAATAAGGATAGTGGCATAATTTAAAAGATACATTGGTAGCAACGAAGGGTATCCTTGCAGATCGTATTTAGGCAGGAATTCAATGGGATGTGTTGTGTTCGTAGGCGAAAGATGGTGACTTGTTCTCCTATTTTATCTCTTATGTCCACAACTCATCGATAAAACTCTGATGGCCGGCTATTCTGTCGAAGTGCTGCACTGGGCTAACATACACACGCACATACAAAACACGTACATTTTAGTTTCAGTAAGAGTTTTGGGGTACTTGCAACACAATAATGTCACAGTAGTGCCGAAGATTAGAGGTATTACAATAAAAGACCAACAAACACAAAAAGGAAGAGGGATAAGGAAGGACGGAAGATGTTTGACAGGAAAGACGGAGCAAACCACAACTCAGCACCCATCAACTACCCACAAACACATAAATGTCTACACCCGTGTACACAAACATGGAACAAAAGAAAAGACAAAATCAACAACTAAGCAAAACGGCACAGCAGCCACACTTTAGTTTTAGTTTTTAATTAGAGTAAGGAGAAGCACATGGACACAGCGTCAACCATCCAGTGATTTAATCTTTGTACTTTGTTTGTTTTGGTAGGGGTTTGACGGCGCTCGCAACTGCATAAGGTCATATAAGCGCCAGAAGATTAAAGGTGTTACAAAAGAGTAACAAACAAACAAAAAAGGAGGGGAGATAAGGACGATAGATGTTTGATAGGAAAGTTAAGAAGAAGCAAACCACACCAGAGCACCCGCCAACCACCGACATTTTTGTACTTGCAACACAAACAGATCAGGGGGGCTCTCGTGGCCTAGAGGTTAAGGTGTACGCGTCCCATTCAAAAGCTCCCGGGTTCGAATCCGGGTAGACACAGAAAGGGGACTCTCGTGGCCTTAGAGGTTAAGGTGTTGGCCTCTCATTCAAAGGTCCCGGGTTCGAATCCGGGTAACGAAAGAACAATTTTCTTCTCTAAAATTGTCTCCTTTCACCTCCTATCCTGCTCTCTAGCAATGTTCTGCAGTCTGCTTTCATTTCCACTTTCTGCCCCCACCCCCTCACCTCCTTTGTCACCTCCTCTGGGCTCCTGGCTCTTTCTGCAGCCTTTCTATTGCTACTCTTGGCTCCTCCTTACTGCTGTCTTTCTGCCACACCCCCTGATCTTCTGGTAGGAAAGATCTACATCTAGCCTTCTCAGACAAGGGCGAAAAATTTCGGAGGGCCCGTGTGCAAGTTGCGCACGTTAAAGATCCCTTGGTAGTCTAAAATCGATAAGAGTAGGCTTCGGCCGCCACCCGAGCAAAATTCAAAAATTCCTACCAACTGAAAATATTAGGTGTGTCCCGCGCGCTCATATGACCTTATGCAGTTGCGAGCGCCGTAAAACACTTTGCAAAACAAGAGACGTTAAAAGACACAGAAAAATGTTCTTCTCTTAAATTGTCTCCTTTCACCTCCTTTCCAGTTCTGTAGCAATGTTCTGTTGTCTGCTTTCGTCTCTACTTTCTGCCCCCACCCCCTCAACTCCTTAGCCCCCTCCTCTGGGCTCCTGACTCTTTCTACAGCCTTTCTACTGCTACTACGTGGCTCCTTCTTACTGCTGTCTTTCAGCCACACCCCTGGTCTTCTGGTTGGAGGGATCTTCACCAAGCCTTCTCGGACAAGGGCAAAAAATCTCGGAGGGCCCGTGTGCAAGTTGCGCTCGTTAAAGATCCCTTGGTGGTCTAAAATCGATAAGAGTAGGCTTCGGCCGCCGCCCGGGCAAAATTCAAAATTTCCTACCAACTCAAAATCTTTGGTGTGCCCCGCGAGCTCATATGACCTTATGCAGTTGCCAGCACCATAAAACACTTACCAAAAAGATTTTTTTTTTTTAAACAAATAGATCACGTTAGTGCCAAAGATTATAGAGCTACAAACAAAAGAAAGAAAAGAAGGACTACAGACAAAGACGACAGATTGTTTGACAGGAAAGAAGGACGAACAAACCCCACGAGATGGCCCGCCAAACACCAACTTTCATCCATTTATTCAGAAGAGCAAATTCGACAGGAACAACAGAGGGAAAGAGAAGTTTGTTGTTTTTTTAACTACCAGAGGCACCCTACAACGACCAAGCGCCATCTCTTCCGATCATAACATAAAAGCAATCAGAATTCTCTGGAAAGCTTCCCTTTCAGGAATAGCGAGATGATCACTGAAATCAGGGCGTGTTTGAAAGGGCTCTAATCTCTACATAACCTCTCTTCATCCAAAAATAAGCCGATTTGCTCAAACAAATATTGTGCGTAAAA